CAGGACCCGAAAAGGAAGCATCTTGCAGAATCTTTTTAACAGACAACCTCACAGGAAGTCAAAGCTAGAAAGGAAGAGGTCACTAATATTTTCCACTGAGTCACTTAACAAGTCCAAACACAATTTAAACATAATCCATAACAAAATCTCACATTTTCCTCATTTTTTTCCAAGTTTTGTTGTATCTTATAACCAGAAGCTGATAAGAAATAGAAAGGGTTTACACTTAATTCAGGTGTGAGACTATGAAGGTTTCGATTCAGGTTACAATCTGAAAAAGGAATCAGTGGCATTATTAATTATTTTTAAATTAAAGAGAATTATTTTTTTCCCCCTTAACACCTACAAGATCATAAAACCACATTCATCTTGGATGGTCTGCACATCTGAGCATGCACATAATTACCTTTTTCATGCAGCAAAAAATCATCTCTGTAAAACAAGAAAAAAACCCCCTGCATATAGCAGTGTATTTGCCAAGACTGCAAGCAGAAGGAGAGGCACCAGTGAGAATAAATCCGAAAACTTTACACATTAACTACTGCAGAAGCTTATCTACAATCCCTTGTTGCAAGTGGGGCCTCAAAAAGGATACTCAAATCTCTTGAAGACCAGAGCTATGCAGGCAAATCTCTGTGCTGCTTTAATGTTTTCTGCTCACAAGAAAAGCCTTGTCCTCCAGCAGTACAGCTGAGCTGGAAGCAAATTCAAGGTCATTACTGTATTAGTTGCAAGAGGACCCCTACATCCTCCCAGGATCTTGAAGGCTGTGCATGGAAAGCTGCACTAAGCCCAGAGAACTATCAATTTATCTTATCTCGCACTACACTAAGCATCCAGTCCTCTCCCCGTCAGCCCCTGCAGCTCCTCACACCTCAGGGTCCCCAGCTTTGGGAAAGTCTGGGAAGAGAGGGCAGCCCCTCCACATGCTCCCCAGCCCCTGTCGGCAGCAGAGCCCTTGGCTGCTGCCTGGGGAATCTCCCTCAGTACCACTTGGGGATGGATGTGCTTGGGCTCATGCTCTGTATTGCTGGAGGCAGCGCATCTCAGTTGCGAAGAGAAAACCATTTGTGTACGAAACTAGAAATGATGATCATAATGAATTACACTGGCTAGATAAAACCAGGCAGCTTCATGGACGTAATTACTGAAGTCCACTGGATGCTTCACGAGGAAACTTCCATCTCTGCCATCTATGCTTATCATACAGCTTTCAAGCTGTTAAAGCAATTCTACACAAACGTTAAAATTATCATTAATGTTGCTCATTGTCTCCAACCTCACCACCCCTGCCACAATAATCCTCCCTATTTACAAACAATGAGACAGCTGGAGTTGCAGCTCCTGCTAAGGAGGACCAGAGGAGTGAGTTTGTACCTGGGGAAAACACCCAGGACTTAACCCAACCCAGCTTCCTCTACAGCAGGACTAATAAACCTGTCTGCCCCAGAGGCTGAAGATCTCATTTTCCTACATATCCCCTTCCTGATGGGGTCTTTCAATCATTAACTGATTTAAGCTCCAGCTACCATATGGAGAGGGTTTTTTTTCTTACCTAGCCTGGTTGTTTGCATGAAAGCCATGGAAAACATGAGGCAAGGTACAAATCAGTGAAGGGGGTAGAAAGGAGACTTGCTCATTTGCTTAGTAGAAGTACTAGCAGCAGCTATAAAAAAGAAAGGCAAACCCCCACTTGTATCTTTGAAGTATGAAAGGAAATAAAGCCAATTCCCCAGTGCAAATTAAAGGCCTATCTTCCAAAAGTGGCACCCATTTATGGGAAATTTCATTTTGCTATGCTAAGATGCAAGAAATCAGCATGTTCCCCCTTCTCTTACATAGCCCATTGTGTTGCAACAAGGAGCACTTTAAATTTTTCTAAAGTAGGCCTCCTGACTATTTTTTAAATGAGAAGAGATGGATGAGGGAGGGTTTTTTTTCTTTTTATTCCTTTGAAACATTCCTCCCTTTCAACACTGTCTATTGTTAAAATTAATTTGTACAGACCCCGGCAGCTCAGAGGTCAGGATGGTTCAAGTTGATGTTCTAAGATGTGCACTGTTATGTTAAACAGGGTTTTTCTTGGCTGCAGCTTTGCAGCGGGAAGGTCACCTCGGGGTTATTTGGGGGAGCAAATGTTAGCTGTGGGCAACTGTTCCCAAAGGGCTGAGAACCAGACCAGGGTTTATTTGATGGAAAGCTTAGGCGGCCTGAGCAGATAGCAAATGCTCCTTTAGTTTGCTTCGTCTCTTAGTCAGCTAATTCCAGGGTATTAAGAAACCTCTGGCAGAGGGCAAGACAGCTGGAGGCTGCATTTCCAGGGTGGGGAAACACACTCATCCTCTCATGTGGGAAGTGCCAAATTGGTTTTAGCATTATCACATCATTTCTGCGGTGCAAGCCATACAGTAGGCAGCAACAGACAGGCAAGCCTGTGGGGAGTGGTGACTGCC